TCATGGCTGTCCCTGAAGACCAAGTCAGAGCAGTCCCTAAATGGATCAACCTTTTCAGCAAGAATGTACAAGTCAAACACAAACCCTTCCAAGCCCGCATTAGAGTTGCATTCGGGTCGGGTAGGGTAGGGAAATGGGCACCTTAGTCCCAACCCGCATGCGGGTTGGGAAGAAAATTTTTTTCCCATTCCCATTCCCATTTCCCGCCGGGATGGGTCGGGAATTTCCCACATTTCCCAAAGATTGACAGCGCTAACCATTTATGGACGCACTAAACTAACTACAGTTAGAATCGGGATGGGAACGGGAATTCCCGTTCCCATTATTCCCAACCCGACTGCCTCATTGTAGCCTTGTATTTTCGATGCAAATTTACCATGCATTATATCTATAATTAGCGATTTTTTTTATTCTGAAAAAATATATATATAATAAAGTGGATTCCTCTCTGTTTTTTAATATTTTTAATATTTTTTTCCAATGGCAGATTCTGTACAGAAAAATCAATATTAGTTGGTACAAGAAATTACAACTCCGTTGCAATATAATATATATATATTTGGACCGCATTACTGCGCAATCTATAGACATGACCGAAAAGATCCATCAAAGGGCATAATATGACCGATTAGATTAAGGATAATCGTTGAATTTTGAGCTCAACACTTTTAAATAACTGATAATCTCAAATAAGAATCATTGGCAACATTAACAAATACTGAGCTGGTGGTAGCCTCCTAATCCGATAAGTTGAACTGCGTACTATATTCTAACCATGGTTGGATTAAGTATTGTAATAGTATGTAATGGGAAATTCGGGAATATGAACCACTCCCATTTCCCACATTTCCCAACCCGACCCATCCCTATGGGAGTAAACGGGAACTGCGGGAATTCCCAATTACTCCCTTTCCCACTGCGGGAATTGGGGATTGGTCCCAATTCCCGACCCTATGCGGGATGGGAAGGGTTCGGGAACGGGAATTGCGGGTTGGGAATGACACTCTAGCCCGCATAGAGCAGTGCACACGATGCTGGGACTACCATAACCCAC